AGCACAGACAAGCACAGAGTTTACATACCATACAAATCAACCACAAAGCCTAAAAATCAAAGTAGCCTCTTAAGAACAATATGACAGGAACAACCCCCCACATATCAATAATTAACTTAAATGTAAGTGGATTGATTGCACCACTCAAAAGGCACAGAGTTGCATATTGGATAAAGAGGCATGATCCATCCTTCTGCTGCCTTCAGAAAACCCATCTCACTGCAAATAACACCCATGGCTCAAGGTAAAGAATTGAAGAAAGATATTCCAGGCAAATGAAAAACAAAAAGAGCAGATGTAGCTATTCTTGTATCAGACAAAATAGACTTTAAATTAATACAAATTAAAAAGGACACTGAAGGACACTACATAACAATAAATGCTCAATACATCAACAAGAAATATCTGTCTTGAATATATATGTACCCAACATAAGCGCACCCAGATTTATAAAACAATTGTTAATTAAACTAAAAAAGGATATAGGCAGTCATACAATCATAGTTGGAGTTAGTTAACAGCCTTAGATCATTAAGGCAAAAATAAATAAATAAATAAAATAATAACAAGGACATCAGGAACCTTAACTCAACACTTAATCAATTGGACCTAATAGACATCTAAAGAACACTGCACCCAACAACAGAATATACATTCTTCTCATTAGCATGTGGAACATACTCCAAGATCAACCACATACTCAGACGTATTTCAAGTGTGAACAAATTTTAAAAGTTTGAAATCATATCAAGTTTATTCTCAGACCACAGTGGAATAAAAATAAATATTACCACCAACAGGAACCCCCCCAATACACCAAAACTTCTGGAATACCATCAAATTAGTGCTGAGAGGGAAGTTTATAACATTGTATATACATATCAAGAAAATAGAGGAATCTCAAGTAGCAGTCTAACCTTACACCTAAGGAAACTGGAAAGACAAACAATTCAACTCAGTCATTAGAAGAAAAATAGAAATTATTAAAATAAAGCCACAACTGAATGTAAAAAAAAAAATCATACAAAGAAGCAGTGAGATGAAATGCTGTTTCAGCCAGGCTCAGTGGCTCAGCCTGTAATCCCCCGCTTTGGGAGGCTGAGGTGAGTGGATTGCCTGAGCCTGTGGGTTAGAGACCCACCTGGACAACTTGGCGAGACCTCATCTCTACAACAAATCAAAAAATGAGCCGGGCGTGGTAGCACGCGCCTGTAGTTCCAGCAACTTGGAAGGCTGAGGCGGAAGGATCACAGGAGCCCAGCAGGTCGAGGCTGCAGTGGCCAGGAGCGGCCATTGCACTCCAGTCTGGGTGACAGAGTGAGACTCCAACTGAAAAAAAAATAAAAGTTAAAACAAATAAACAAAAAACAGATGTTGGTGAGACTGCGGAGAAAAGGGAACACGCTATACCACTGGTGGGAATGTAAGCTAGTTCACCCTTTGTGGAAAGCAGTGTGGTGTTTTCTCAAAGAATTAAAAATTGAGCTTCCATGTGATCCAGCAATCCCACTTCCAAGAATATACCCAGAAGAATGTAAACTGCTCTACTAAAAAAACACCTACACACATATGTTCATTGCACCACTATTCACAACAGCAAAAACATGGAGCCAACCCAGATGCCCATTGAAGGTGGACTGGATAAAGAAAACGTGGTTCATATAAACAATAGAATACTATGCAGCCATAAAGAAGAGCAACATCATATCCTTTGCAGCAACATGGATGCCACTGGAGAACATCTTTTTAAGTGAACTATCACAGAAACAAAAAACTGAGTACTGCATTCTCTCACTCATAAGTGGGCCTAACTATTGGGCACACGAACACAAAGGTGGGAACAACTGACACTGGGCACTGCTAACAGAGGGAGGGAGGGAGTGAAGATACGGGGCACACAACTACCCATTGTGTACCATGTCCACCACCAGGGGTAGAGAGGGCTTACCTGAAGCCCAAACCTCACCTGTGTGCAATTTACTAAGTAGTAAATCCTCACATGTACCCCAGAATTCTGAGGTAAAAATTAAAATTAAAAAATAATAATAATAAGGTACAGAAAGGTGGGTAATAGGGGAATTTATCCATTTAATATTTTATACCCAGCAAAATTATTTTTTAAATAAAGCCAGAATAAAGACCACATTTTTTTAAAATTCCACTTCATTTATTTATTTATTTACTTGAGATTTTTAAAGTAAAGCCTATACTTTTTGGCCATCTTCTGTTTACTTATTTATTTTTTATTTTAAAGATGTGGGGTACAATTCGGGGCTAGTATACATATGCTCATCATGCAGGTACCCGGTTGATGAAGTGTGCCTCCCCTTCCCCTGGCAGCTTCCCACTACTGCCAATTCCTTTCTTATAGTATTATGATAGTTGTTCAAGGTCCACTTATGAGTGAGAACATGTGATACTTGGTTCTTTGTTTCTGTGATAGATCACTCAGTATTATGGTCTCTAGTTCCATCAAAGTTTCTGCAAAGTTCATAATTTTGTCCTTTAAAGATCATATTAGACATACAAAAACAGAGATAATTTCTCTCTAGCAGACCAGAAAAATGTTACAGGAATTTCTTTAGATAGAAGAAAAAATTATATCAGAAAAATATTTAGATCCACTAGAAGGAATGAATATTTAAATGTTATCTAATGGTTAAGGTAAAAATAATAACAATTTATTCTGGGTTATATTATTTTATAGAAGTAAAATGTGTAATAATAGCACAAAGACTGGGAGCAGGGAAATGGAAAAATATTAATGAGAGGTTCTTATAAGTGAAATGGCATAATATAATTTAAAGGGAGACTAGGATCAAGTTAGAGATGTATATTCGAAACTGAAAGGCACTGTTAATAAAACAAAGCAAAGCAAATGAACCAATCATGGAGACAAAACATCATTTAAAATATTCCATCTAGGCCAGGCGTGGTGGTTTAAGCCTATAATCCCAGCACTTTGGGAGGTTGAGGCGAGAGGGTTGCCTGAACCTGCAAGTTCAAGACCAGCCTGGGCATCATGGTGAGACCTCATCTCTACAATAAATCAAAGAATTAGCCGGGCGTGGTAGTGTGCACCTGTAGTTCCGGCTACTTGGCAGGCTGAGGCAAAAGGATTGCCAGAGCCCAGCAGGTCGATGCCGGGGTGGCCGTGAGCGTGCCACTGCACTCCAGCCTGGGCGATGGAGTGAGACTCTAACTCAAAAATAGAATAGAATAGAATAAAATAAAATATTTAATCTAAAAGAAAACAAACAAGGAGTGGAAAAGGAACCAAGACCAGATGAACAAACAGAAAAAAATGGTTGGTTGCTAGTTTTAAATCTAACCATATCATTAATTATATTAAAAATAAATGGAAGGAACACCACAATTAAGCAAAGCATAAGCCTGGTTTAAAAAGCAACATCATGCAGTATGCAGAATTTGAGAAATCCACCTTAAAGACAAAGACAGGTTAAAAAAAAAAAGGATAGAAAAAATGTATATCTTACCAACTAAAACAAATCAAACATCTAATGCATTATTCCATTTATGACACTATTGAAAAAGCAGAATTAAGTGGAAGATAGCAGATCAGTTGTTGCCTGGGCCCAGAAGGTCAGGGAAGTAATGGCTACAAATGGCACAAGGAGACCTTTTGGAGTGATGGAACTCCTTTTTACCTCAATTGTGACTGTAGCTGTAAGACTGTACACATTTACCCAAAGCTCAGCAAATATTATACTTAAAATTGATGAATTTTATTGTATTAAAATCACACCTCAATAAGGATGATGAAAGGAAGAAAGGGAGGAAGCAAAGGGATAGGAAAAGAGACAGAGAAGAAAAAAGAAATAAGGAAAGGCGAAAGAGAAGGAAGGAAAGAAAAGAAATTGAGCACTTCTGTTTTCAAAAAGTATCATTGTTTCAGTAAGAATAGTTTCTACTGGCCTTTTACCCTGACGTGTAAAACAGTTCAGGCCTTTTTATTCAGATCTTTGTTGTCTGCCTACATCCACACTCTGAGGGTCTCGCTTTCTACCTCGATGAACTCATCAAGCTTGTATCAAAAGAAGATAACCACATCTCAAAGGGAAATTCTGGCACAAGCTGATGATAGGGGAACTTTCACCTAATTAAGTGAGAAATGCCTCAGGCAGGGGAAATTGCCCATCCCACTCGGTTATTTATGACACTGACCTCTCCCCTTCCTGAACTCAATTGCTCCATCTCTACCACATCTTCATTTTATTATTGAAAACCCCCTCCCCCAACCCCTGCAATTCTTTTGATCTTGATCATCTCAGTTTCCCCTTTTCAATAAGGAAGACCAGTTTCTACATCCTCCCTCTCATGTCAGTAGGGAAAGTCCAGTACATAAGGAGGTGGCAATGGTGGTCTTTGAGTGCACAGAAGGAAGACATTTAAACTACAGAGGATAGACACATTTCATATTCACAAGGGCAACTAGACTACATAAAAGGAGCTAGATGCTGAGGATCTGGGAAAAAAGTTGGGAAAATCAGACGACAGAGACGAAATAAAGAGATAAAACTGGGCTGAGGTTAACAGTAATTGGAAAGAAGATATGAAACACCTACAGAGCAAAACAAAACAATATATAAACATCTCTGAGTATACTCCCATTCTCTCTAATAGGCCAAATATGTCATGTCCAAACACTATAAAGAAAATATGACCAACCCATTCTCAGATTCTAAGATGATTTACTCATCAAAGATTATTCAATTTTCTGACTGTATTTAGATATAATTGTTTAGGCACCCTGGAAAATTAACTTGCTAAACCTTAATTTACAAATAGCATTTCTTATTTTTCAGATGACCATAGTATCAAAGCCTTTATAACTACTTGGGCATAGAAGTAAATATATATGAATCTTTCCAAATAATAGAAGTTCACTATGAGAAGGCACATGCATCTCTAAAAAGCTCATTTTAGGTTAGCAGTCTTCAGAAATGGCCCAGATGTCTTCATGGCTTTTACTTCTCCAGGTGCTTCCTACACTGACCACACCTTCCCTGTGGAGAAGATGGATGATGCTATAGCTCCTGGCCAAGAATATACCTATGAGTGGACTATCAGTGAGGACAGTGGACCCACACAAGATGACCCTCCGTGCCTCACACACATCTACTACTCCCATGAAAATCTGACACAGGACTTCAACTCTGGGCTGATTGGACCTCTGCTTATCTGTAAAAAAGGTAAAAACAACAACAAAGGTGTTGAATGGTAAGGAGTTGTATAGAGGACTAAGTCTTGGTAACTTCATGTACCTCAAACGGAGGAAATGGGTGCAAACACCAAATCATTATTTGACAAGAGAAAAAAACCATCTGATATTTGAAGGCATGGATCCTCCTTTGTTTCTCCTAATTCTTCCCTCAACTCAGTCCTGAAGCTGCTCCCAAAGAATTCCTGTTTGGGAGTATGTTCTTATACCAAGCTTCTGTGATCTGTAACATTTACCTCAAGGCCAAAGTCTTTTTGAAAGCACTTATAACTGTTGGTGCTCTGCCAAGACATCCATTTCCTCCAATCTCAATAGGCCAACATATAAGTACTTTAGCTCAGTTAGTAAAAGCAGGGTACTCCAAATTTAATGCTGATACCTTGTTTATAAATGAAATGAGGCCCTTGAGAATTTGCTTGAAGTATCAACTTCTATTCTGCTGAGAGAACTCTTAGGAAGAACTTTGGAAAACATACCTGACATATATGAGGTTTGGGCTGGCAATTTGGTCTACCACTGCTTGAAATGCCAGCTTCCTTTTATAAACAAGCTGAATACTTTGGGTGGTAGTTTTCAAACATACTCAACTGGCTTTATACAAAGTTTTATTGGCTGGGCTTCTTAGGAACAGGCTTGGATTTTCACTTTATTTATTTATTTATTATACAAATTTGTTATACAAATTTATTATACAAATACTTTATTTATTTATTTATTATGCAAATACATTTTTCATTATCTGGTGTATAGAAGATACTGTGAAGGCACTGAAAAAAAATTTAAAACTTATAAAAGGTTTTACTTACACTTTACCATCAGCAGCACTTTTTCCTCATATGAGAGTGGATTTATCCTGATACTGCCAACCAATTCTTAGTGCCCCATTTCATGCACAAACAAGATGGCAGCAATAAACTTGGGCTGTGATGACTTTGCAAACTGAGCTAAGGTACCTATATATTGAACTATTAAGACTGGAAGAAATGGATGCTTTTACAGAGCCGCAACAGTCACGAATATTTTCTTTCTGCACCTGATAAAATAAAGCCCCATTCTCCAAGGCTACAAGGCGCAAAAGCAAACAAAGTAGAAAGAGAATTTGAAAAGCCCTTCAAACTTTACTAACTGATACAATGCTATTTAAAAAAATAAGAACATCTTCAAGTTGATAGCATTATGATTGGTTGCTTGCCTTAAACTCTTCGCTGTCTAGGAAAGCTAATGAGTCTTCTCTCTGGGATGCTTATGAAAGCCTGCCTCTTCTTTCACAGGCACCCTAACTGAGGACGGGACTCAGAAGATGTTTGACAAGCAACTTGTGCTGCTGTTTGCTGTGTTTGATGAAAGCAAGAGCTGGAGCCCGTCATCATCCCTAATGTACACAGTCAATGGCTACATGAATGGAACAATGCCAGGTAACTCATGGGCAGTGCACTGTCCAGTAACAGTAGAATCATTAACACCTTTGGTGCTGTTGTTTTCTTCAAGGTACTAGGGAAGTTGACCATACTCACTGTTTGGCAACTCCTTATCAGAAAGGTGATATAATCTAGTTCTTAAGATTTTATCATCATAATTTTTTTTAAAACCAGGAAATACAACAGACAAATTAGAAGCTAGCTGGCAGCCTTGTTAGGTGTAATGATCTGAGCAGGCTTCCCCTTGGTCTGCACTTCCAAAAAGACCTTCAGCATATCAGCTTAGTCTCTCTCAGTGAGTTCTGTGCCCCTTCTATATGGTGACCACGTTTTCTTCTACTGAAGTTCAAGGTCAATCCCTAGCAGGAAGGGTCAGTAGGGAGAATGCAATACAGACACTTGCAGTGAAGATGAACAGATTAGGAGTAATCCCCAACACACAAAAATACTACTGGAATTTCGAATGATGATGAATGAGTAATATTTAATGGCATGTGGGATTTTTTTTCTCTTTCCATTTCATATAGACTCTTGTTAAAAGGCAAAAACTCATAGCAACTATCAAGGGAAAACAAAAAACTGACTCCCACGTAGAACACACCTCTTCTATTTCTTTCTGGTAGAGCTGACTAAAGATCCAGGATATATTGTACCAGACTGAGGAAAAACACAGAAAAATTAAAATATCACTTTACTGATGGACATTCAGCCTTTAACAACTCCTTAACCTTCCTCTGGAATAACCACGTGCCAAAGGTCAATTGGTACTTTTCCAGGGAAGCATATTCAGACAATTTTGAGTAGAGTATTTTTGTGTGAAGCCCCATTAGGGTCCTTCTTAAGTGTCAAGATAAAGACTGTAATACAACTAGCTTCAAGTGCTATGATTCTTGATAGTTCTTAGGTCTCTTTCTGCATGTCACGTGTGTATTTTAAATAAGTGTCCACCATTCCTACCCTGCCACACACAGAAAAAACCTGGTGGAATTGTCATAGGAAATATTTGTAGAACCTATCTGTGTTATTCATTGCTTTAACAAATTCATATTTAGCCATGATTTTATAGCAAGTATTATACTAATTTCTTTGAACATGTAACAATGAAAAACATAAGTATGTTTCCTGCCATCTGTATCTTAGATTCTAGTGGAGAAGCTGGATAGTAAATATGTATAATTATTATATGTAAATAAATCCCAGAATGCTTTTGTTCTTAGACATATGTTTTATCATTTAATCATCTCTGCTATCTAGTTGTATCTTATAATTGGTGGTATAGCTAAATTAACTGACAGCATTTATAGTTTGTTTTTAGCAATCCATAAAATAATAGTGCATCTTACAAGATGGCATCTAAAATTTACTGAACCAAGTATTAACAAACTTATGAAGAAGAAAAAACAGAAAAGTGAGAGAAGATAATGGACGTACTGAGACAGGATCAGAGAATGTTTTCTTTTGTATCTTTTCTTTGCTGTAATTGATCCTCATCAACTTCTGCTATACTCATAAGTATGTTTTCTCATCCTCAGAACTTTGAATAAAATCCAAGAAAAAAACAAAAAAAAGAGAACAAAAAACCAAAACCAAAAAATATCGCTTTACTAAATAAACCATATTTTAAAACACTAAAATTCTTAGAGGTTATTCTCTAATGTCTCAAAATCACAAATGGCTTCATTTACTAAAAAACAAATGTTAATTGATGTCTGGGCATTGCTTTTAAATTGTATTCTATTTCACCTGACTCTATTTTCCACCTGAATAAATATGATAAATGATAAACAGATATGTTAGTTGCTGAATTAAATATGAGCATTTCTTTGGGATGGATAAATGGTTCCACCAAAGCCTCCTCCCTTCCAGCTTCTTGTTCTCTCCAGTGATAACCAGGAATCCCTGCCTTGCTACAAAGGTCTCCCAAAAAGCCAGGCCCTTCTGTGGCTAAGGGACTGATTCTCAGCCCCATTATCTAGTATCTAGTGAATATGGATCTGAAACTTAAAACCCAACCCTAGAAGCCTGGGATGGAGTTTCCCAGAGTAAATGAGTATTTTCCCAGTAACTGTGGGAGCAAAGAAGGAGCAAAACTAAGCTTCTGGACTCAGTTATCATTACTCCACCCATGAGAAGCTCCCAGTGGCCCAGCATAATGAAGACTTACCCACTGCAGTTTTTTTGGTTTTTGTAATTAGAGTTTCACTCTGTCATCCAGGCTGAAGTGCAGTGGCACAATCAAGGTTCACCACGGTCTCAACCTCCTGGACTCAAGCAATCCTCCTGCCTTAGCCTCTCAAAGTGCTGGGATTACAGGAGTGAGCCACCACACCCAGCACCCACTGCGTTTTTAAGGAGAGTATGAAACCCACAGAGTGATTCACTGACTTGTCATTCAACCGATCAAAACATGAGTGAAGAAGCAATAGCAAATCCTTACATCATCTTCACATATTCTCCCCTTTGGGCAGAGCTTTGACCCTTATCTAGCCAAGAGCATTTGGCTCTTGATCTCAGCCCAGTTGGAGGTTCCAGTGACTCCCTCCAGCTGAGACCAGATTGGTGTGACCCAACATCCATTTTGCTATGGACTCTATCAGTTCTAACACTGGAAGTCCTGAATCCTGGGAAACCCTTTAGTCTGCAGTAAACCAGGAAAGTTGATTACCTCCTTGGTTCTCTCCTCAGCCTAATCCCTTAGTAATCCATGTGTTTCTGGGCTAAATCCCCCATCTCTGGGTTCTATTCTTGCCCGTATAATGTCACTATTGCAATGAGTTGTGACTGTTTGTTTGCCCGTCACTCCGATGTCTGCTTTCACAGGGCAGAAACCACAACTGGAACATGTGCTCTCAGAACCTTACACGCATCTGATGCACAGCAGATGCACGGTAGACATTTGACTCAAGACACATTTGCTGAATTTTTGATTATAGAGTACTGGACTGAATGCCTGTTTTGGCCTCTGTCTCTCTCTCTCTCTCTCTCTCAGATATAATGGTTTGTGCCCATGACCACATCAGCTGGCATCTAATTGGAATGAGCTCTGGGCCAGAAATGTTCTCCATTCATTTCAATGGTCAGGTCCTGGAGCAGAACCATCACAAAGTGTCGGCCATCACTCTCGTCAGTGCTACATCCACTACCGCAAACATGACTATGAGCCCAGAGGGAAAGTGGATCGTATCTTCTCTCACCCCAAAACACTTGCAAGGCAAGAAACTCTGCTGAGAGTATTGCTTCTGAATGCAGGATCCTTTCTTCCCAGACACTAACTCCCTCCTTCTCCTTTGCATTCTCAAGCTGCCTGAACCCCAGATATACATGCCTTGGTTCCTAAAATTTAGGTGCCCTTAGACTTATAAACTATTGTTTAGGGATGGAGGAATTGAAGGAATTGACAAAGATGTTTTTAAATGAAGCAAAAGCTGAAGGTCTCTACTTTCTCGAAAGGAGAAAAAAGGAAGGAAACATATATACATAGAGCTATTCTTTCTTAGGGATATTTCATATCTAGGTGCCAGCACAAGATAAACATCTGTAGATTTACAGAAGTACCAAGTTACAGAAAGTGCAAACATTTTTAGCATGGAAAGATTAGATGAGCATAAAGCCCTACACAGAGAAGAACTCAATGAATGTGTGTTGAATGGATCTTACGTGATATCTACACACCTGACAGGTGGCTTGACAGAACATCAGTGAGTTCAGGTGGGAAAATAAATCAGCCCAGGTTGTTAGATGGTATCATGTCAGCAAAATAACTAATTGTTCTACTACACATTTTTTGCTTTAAAACTGTTGAAGGCAGTGTTCATGTAAACAGAGACTAAAATCTAAGTAAATAATATTACTATAGAAAATCATTTTGTTACCAAAATAATGTATAAGTAACACACATGAGGAAGAGGTACTTCCTGAGATCATTTTCTTTCCACGTGGAATAGTCAAAATTATATTTGAAGTAATAAAATTGCCACAATATCCCTGGAAGATAGAGTTCCTAAAAATAATACAACAGTGAAAATAAGATTTATTGAGGATAAGGACTCTACATATGGTTAAGTTTTAACAACAATTTTATTAAATACTAGTGTTCTCTTCATTTTACAGATTAAGGGACAGATGACAGAAAAAATTAGAATTCAATAAAACTAAAGTCATAAGGTTCCTAAGGGGCTGGAAGTTATGAGAAATATCCCTGCTCAAGGAGAAACAAAGGGAATCTTTCCAAGTTTTTTCTCTAGCCCTCCCATTTCTCCTGCTTTTCATTCTTTCCGCATTCTGTACACCACTGAAAGAGTTTCAATCCAAAATGTTCAGAAATGCCCTGGGTGTGACTGTCACTGTTATTATTTAGACCTTCCACAAATTGGTTTCAATGATGCATTTTGATCAACTGTAGTTTCTTCTCTCGAATTCTTTCACTGTCTTTCTGCCCTAACTCAGCTGGGATGCAGGCTTACATTGACATTAAAAACTGCCCAAAGAAAACCAGGAATCCTAAGAAAATAACTCGTGAGCAGAGGCGGCACATGAAAAGATGGGAATACTTCATTGCTGCAGAGGAAGTCATCTGGGACTACGCGCCTATAATACCAACGAATATGGACAAGTGAGTTGTTGAGGTTCATGCCATCGTGCAAAGGTTCAAGACACATAGCATAGGACCCTAAATATGTGAGGGTGAATGTCATGTGTAGACAGCTCTCAAGGGGACACATGTCTTGGCTTCCATTCAGGTCTTCTTGTCCAAATTAATTTCGAATTACCCCACTCTCACCAAGGCAATTCAGCCTAATAATAATAATAACAGTAGCTAACATTTGTAGAATGCTTACTATTGCCAAGTATTGTATTCAACCCTTCCTAAGAGCTTCACTTCAACTCTACAAATTCGATGCAGCTCTTACTTTTTATGGATCAGGAAATAGCTCAGAGAGATTAAGAAATCTGGAGACTCAAATAGCTCTTTTTTTTTTTTTTTTTTTG